AAAAAAAAGAAGCAGCAATTAGCTTGGATGAAGTAGCAGCAGCTCAAGAAAGCAGGAGGCCTCTCTCCCCTCACATATTATACCGAGACCCCGGCTTAAAAAAAAAAGGGGGGGGCCAGTGAGATAGCTCAGTAGACTAAGCCCCTGCTTAGGCAAGTGCAGGGACCTGGGCTCAATCCCCAGCACCACATGCCACCAATTGGGTGTGGTGGTGCACATCTGTAATCCCAGGGATGGAGAGGCTGAAAACAGGAGGATCACTACGAGTCTGAGCTGCATAGTGAGACCCTGTGTCAAATACGTAAATGAGGGGGCCAGGGAGATGGCTCAGTGGAATAAGTGCTTCCCTGGCAAGCGCAATGTCTGAGTTCAATCCCCAGTTCTGCCAAAAAAATAAATAAATAAATAAAAAGAAAGAAAAGAAAAAATGAAGTACCAGGTAAACATGGTGCGGGCAGGTGGGGGGATTCTGGGAGAAACCAGGAGCAAAGGGCAGAGGGCTGCTCCCACGAGAGCATGCGGGGAGTGAGCTCCTCCGAGGAGTCAGAGCCAGTCAGAGCAGCAAGAAAGACACAGAAGAACGGGGGGGCCAGTGGCAAGGACACGGGCCCCAGCTGCAGACCAGCCAGGAGTGGGCCAACGGAGTCTCCTCTGGAACAGAAGAGAACACAAGTCATGATCTCTACAGACATGGAGACAAACCGCAGGCATCCGGGGACAGGCATCCGGGGACAGGCATCCGGGGACAGCCACCGTGGCTGCACAATTGCAGAGTTTCATGTCAGTGTCTGGGCTGTGTGCATGCCACCGGGATATGGTGACATCGCCCACAAGGCCTTGGTTTAACTTTGTTTGCAGTGCTCAGGGCTCTGCCATGGAGCTGCATCCCCAGCCTTCTTTCATTTTTCGTTTTGAGAGCAGGACTGGCTCACCCCCTGCCTCAGCCTCCTTGCGAGTCTGTCACCATGCCAGCAACAGGGTGTTATTCAAGTGGAAACAAACAGAAATTCCTGACTGCACTGCCAGAAAGAACTATCACGTAAACTCAGCTAAATTTCTTTTAAATAAATAAATAAATAAATAAATAAATAATCACTTGCAGCACACAGCACACAAATAATTGTGCCCAGGGCCGGCCAGATAGCTGAGCAGATTAAAGTGCCTGCTTAGGCAGGTGTGGGGACCAGGGTTCAATCCCTGGCATGCTATGCTGGCCCCACCCCTGGGGTGCAATGGCAACTGGGCATGGTGGTGCGCACCTGTAATGCCAGCGCTTGGGAGGCTGAAAATTGGAGGATCACTATGAGTCGGATCTGTGTAGTGAGACCGTGTAGACCCTGTACTAAATACATAAAAATAAAAAATATTTTTATATTTATTTATTTATTTATTTATTTATTTATTTATTGTGGAACCGGGGATTGAACTCAGGCCCTCACACTTGCCAGAGAAACGCTTATTCCACTGAGCCATCTCCCCGGCCTCATTATTTTTTATTTTTTAAAGTGCCAGGCCCCTATCCACTATTACCCACATTAATAGGATTTCAGTACTGGAGACTGAACCTCAGGCCTGGTGCACACTAACCACTCTCCACCACTGAGCACCACTAGGCAGCTATATTACTATTATTTGTATTTATTTATTTATTTATTTATTTATTTAGTGGAACCAGGGATTGAACTCAGGCCCTTGCATTTGCCAGGGAAGTGCTTATTCCACTGAGCCATCTCCCCAGCCCACAGGCAGCTATACTATTACTATCACACCTAGTATTATTAAATCATGTTGACCTCAAAATCAGATCTGTTCCATCTTTAGAGATATGTCTGGGTAAATGTCTACTTTTTACATAGACTTATCTATTTGCTTCATTTTGGTTTTTGGAGACGGGGTCTCGTCATAGAGTTTTCAGCTGACCTTGAACTCACTATGTAGCTTAGGCTGGCCTCAGCCTCTCAGCGATCCTTCCGCCTCCGCCTCCCAGTGCTGAGATAGATCACTGCTGTCACACCTAGCCGGGCTATATAATTGTTAAAGAAAAAAACCATTTTATTCCTTGAATCAGTGCACTTAATGGTGTATTTGGCAAGCTTCGGTGGCGCAGAAATTTTTGTTTAGGAGCATTTCAGACCACTACCCAGGAAGGTGACAGCTGTGGTGCATCTTGGGAGTTCTTTGGTCCATGGCCATAGCTAAATGGAAAGGACTATTTCTGACCTCGGTTCTCAGCAGTGAAGAATGTCAAAGACCGAGCTCTTCCCTCCTGCCTCGTTCCACTCTCCTGTCGGGGTCCCTGCCTTGCACGCCTTGGCTCAGTGTGGAGAGAGCTGGGTGCTGGGGCTCTGTCGGGCAGCGCTGAAAGCTGCCAGCTGCAAAAACCTCCGCTGGCCGGTGGCTCAGTGCGCGCAGGAGGCCCAAAGGGGGCTTCTTCCCAGCATCCGCTGCGGCTGGGGTTGTGTGCCAGGGGCCCTGGTAAACCCCACCCTAGAGGCAGCTTGAACCCCAAGCTCCTTAGGACCTGGTGACTGGGGTGGAGGAGGTTTAAGGAAAGCCACTGACTGAGGCTGTGGGTGAATCTGACCCATGGCTATGGTTTCTGATGTGCTTTGCATTTCCAAGGGCTGGTTGTTTGTTTTTTTGTGTTTTGTTTTGTTTTGACTCATCAATATTTTTGTTTCTTTGGGGTGATCAGTGCTGGGGGTAGAACCCACATGCTAGGCAAGCACTACATCCCAGCCCCAGGCTGTCAGTATTTTTAAGCCGAAATATTTAATAACCTCTCTTGAAAAATAGAAACACAAAGCCTCTCGGCGTGAATGCAAAGTAGAGGGGGCTGGCGGCCCCTGGGGCTCCTCTGCCTACTCCGAACAGCCATCTCAACGTTTCTGTAACTCCACGTAGTATGGAAAATATACAGGATACCAAGTAGCAGAAGTAGTTCTTGTGAAAGAATTTAGGTTTAACTGAGAAAACAATAGGCAAATTAACTTTTAAATAGAGTTGTTTCTCTCTCTCTCTCTCTCTCTCTCTCTCTCTCTCTCTCTCTCT